ATAGAGAACTTGACTTTTGACCTGTTTTCACGTTTCTGAGCCCTGGCAAGATACCTTTTCACAATGCTTTACTTTTACAAGGCCCGTGCTGCTCTATTTTTACAAGGCCTGAGGCCTATATTGGGTAAAGGCCCTTTTAAACCCCTCTCTTCTTCTTTTGTGTATGGCGGGGAACTGGTGCACTCTTCCTGTGTGAGTGCCAGCCCGTTTCACACCATGGAAGGATGATGATGTATGTTTGGTCTGCATTGCGACATTGATTGGTCTGATCATTGGTATATTAGCCTTCCGCTGCGCTATCTTGTACTATGTGAGAGAGGTCAGTTCTTGTTCTGGTCTTCACCTTTACGGTATGCGACAAAGGGTGTTTTTCACACAAGGAAATTAGATAATCCAGAATGCCACTCCCCGGGCAATGGAAGGAACTTCTTCGGGAACAATTCACAGGGCTGCATGTTTTTTCTCTTTTTCTCCTCAATGCCTTCAGCGTGTGTGTTTCCACATGCACAGCACACCAATATGACATTTTGCAGTCGACTTGCCTGTTTTGCCTGGGCCCACGGGCTTCCTCCCCCATCGTGCTACAAGACCGATGCCGAAACCCCGTTTTGCGTCCGTGTTATCCACCGCGTGTTTTTTTTGCAAGCGGGGAAAGGTACTGGTGGTTTAAATGGTCATGAGGCAGCACAAGCCAACTTTCACTTTTCACCACTGCGGTGCAGAACACTCCTAATAATATCTGTGTATGAGGTGGGAATATGGTTGCAACAACAAGGGTTCTGATGTGGCTTGGTCAGGTATGTGAGTGTCGGTTGTGGCTTCTAATTAATTAGTAGTCTGCTAGTCTGCCTATGCCAGTGGTGTGATATGCAGATAGCAGATTGTGGTTGTTGATTCACTGGATGTTTGTTCATGGCAGCTATTTGTAGGTTGCAGTCCTTTTTTTTTGTTTTTTTAAGGGTTGCTGGTTGCATAGTCATCCGCTATGCTCTTATATGTTTCGCAAAACATTTCAGGTGATGTGAATGGTGTCCAAGAATGTTTGCTGATTTGTTGGGTCCTTGTGGTTGAATTTGTAGAGGTGTACATGCAGCAGAGGGATGGTTGGCAAATAGTGGGAGCATCTGCAAGGGCGTAACGTCTGCACTTAGAAGAGCTGTGGCCATATTGGATGGTGCAAATGTCTCGATGGACCACAATTTTGAGCAGCAGAATCGGCATTTAGGCGACATCCGACAAGCATCAAGTGGTGGTGGAAATATGAGTGGAGTGAGTGTAGACCCTGGTCATGCTGCACCTTCAAGGGGAAGTGAATGTGGAAACAATCAACCGACCGTTGTCTCAGGAGCTCACGGGGCCACTGCAGATTTTAAGGTAGCAAGTAAACAGGGGAGAACAGAGGTTGGACAAGTTGGCGTGGTGCATCCTGTGTCAGCTCGTCAGCTTAACAAGCAGACTCTTCTGGCATTGGAGTTATTTGTTTCTTCCCCAGTGTCCAGTATTCTCCAGGAGGAAGAGAGTCCCAATGATCATGTGTTGGGGGCTGATGCAGCGGACCACAAAAGTCTTATAAAGAAGTTTGGAACGGCACTGTGTAATGGTTTTGTGGATGCATCTCTTCTCGCAGAATCGGCAGCTGGGAGAACAGGTTTAGGGTCTGCTGCAGCTCTGTCTGGAGAGTTAACAGCTGTGACTAAAGGTGCAGGGTCAGATGGCGTGCAGGTTTTCAAGGGAGTATTTGATGATGATTTTGACATGGATGCCAGGTCGGGTGGACCTTCTACAACTAAGGCAGTTTGGACTAGTGTGGATGACCATCAAACAGATCTTTGGGATGTCAATGGTGATGAGACATCTGCAGCTGGGACCAGCATGAGTTGGGCCTGTAGCCCTAGCTCACGTGCTTCGGGCAGTTCAGAAATAAGAACTTTTTGCATCCGAATGATTGTGGCCCTTGGCCAACTTTGTCCTGAAGCTGCTGCTAATGACCTTGCAAGGCTGCTCTCACAAGAGAAGAACAATGAGGTTAGTTGGATGTCTTTTCTTACGAAAGCTTTACAATGTTTACATCTAATTCCTATCGATTTCCACATCTCAACATTCAAAGCTTACCCAGGAGGTCGCCTGAATGGCTGCACCAGCTGCAGGTTCTTAGGAATGTCCTTATTGTCTATTTGAAAAAACATAGCTGTCTTACACTGTTACTGTTATGATCCTGGCCAATTTCGAAGTACACATTCATCAGAAAGTACAATGCCGTCCACTTGCAAAAAGAAATGAATGAACTTCAGAGGAGAGGGAGGGAAAGACGCAGAAGAAGAAGAAAGAAAGAAGAAGAAGATGGTGTACACCGGCATAGACCAATGATAATGCTCCTCTTCTTCGCCAACCACTCTCCTCCTCCTTATCTCCTCCCCTCTTATTCAAACAAGAAAAATAATAACAATGTTGAACGGCTGATCCAGAATCAATGTCCGAGTCCCTCTTCTACTCCAGGTATCACTTGAGGTCCACCATAGCCATTGCCGCCCTTCTCTCTCTTCCTCATAGGCCGAGGCTATGGTGGACTACCAGGGCATCGCCCTGCTGTCCAAAGGACAACACAAATCAGCTATGGCTGCTCTAGCTCGGGCCGCCATGGCTGACTCTGCCTCGAAGCTTCTTGGTGTAGCTCTGCCCCAACTGGGCCTTCCTGCTGCAGTGCCCACCAAGGTGCTGAAGATGGCAACCACCATAGCCATTTAAGTACCTCTGGTGCTCCCCATTCCTAGTCCTGGTCTTCTTCCTCCTCTGTGTCCTTGCTCCTTCCCCAGCAGCGCAGCTGAGTGCTAGCGCTCCAACCAGTGTGTCGCCAAACTTGCACACTGACAATGAGGAGGAGCAATTGGCTCCTCCTGGAGACATTGCACACTGACAACGAGGAGGAGCAATTGGCTCCTCCTGGAGATATGGTGGCCTGCTTGCCTCTTGGCGAGTGACTTCCTAGGCCGCGCGGCCTCAAAGCAAACGGTACCTCCTCCCTTTCGGAGGGAAACATCATTGAAGAGTCTGATATTGCCCGCACAGGCCCTAGATTCAGACTGGTTGGACTGGTACCTGCCTAGACCTAGCCTACAACTACTGGGCCTCTAAAAATGCCAAGTTTTGTCTTTTTCTGCTCGGCCTAGAGAACCTGGCACATCTACCTCTACCTGGTGTGGTGCCAGCCTACCTGCCACTTGAGTGTTTTCCCCCGCTGCAGTCAACATCACAGTCACAGGTAAGTACCGGCCCTTTGGGCCCACTGAACGAACAAGTGCCCTTGCGGGTCACACACACGCTCAAGCCGACAAGCACTCAGACAGACATTCAGACCAGCAAGCGTGCACACACACAGACTTGGAGAACTCAGTAACAAGCGGGAAACTCAGCAAGTCATTCATTCCATGAGCAAAACTCAGAAATCAGCTGTGTGTCTCAGTCCGTGTTTGGTCAGGTCATTACAGTTACCCACGATGTCGCACATGGCATACTAACAAGTGTAGTTCTTGAGTGGCTCTTCTCTTAGAGTTATCCACAACATAGCACATGGGACGCTAAGTTCACTAACTAGCATGTTTGCCAATTGTTACTCACCTCTTAGGTGTGCAGCACTCTGTACCATACATAATGTGAGGTTATGGTATGATACATGGCAGGCCGTTATGAACTTCGATATCCGACTTTCAGCTGTGGCTCCGCCGCTACAGAAATTGCTAATCTAAGAAAGTGCAAATCTGCGCTGTTTGTGGTCTACCAGGCCCACAGCCCAGATCACCGCATAAATGTAAGATATCTGCTATTTGGGCCCGGGTCGTCATAGGAACTTAGAATCATAAGATCCCGCATCAATCAGCCCGGTCCTACCAGGCAAGTGGCCCCAATTGCTCTGTGATCTTTACAAGTTAAAGATTGCATGCTGATCGGTGCCATTGCAGTTGCCCTACTCAGCCGATGGACGCCATAACTGGGCTACCAGCTGGGCCTACCGGGTCACCCTGGTTTCCCGGGCAGCCCTGCCGTGCAAGGACCAGGGAAGGCCCCAGCAAAAAAAATAAAAACAAGGTTTGTCTCTGCTATCGTCCACAGTCTGGCTGAGTTCGATAACCTGAGCCATATATGCAAAGCGACGAGTGAAACGATGGAGGCGGCCATCTCCAACAAAGGACTGTGTAAGGTGACCGTGCTGCTGTTGGAGATAAAGGAGAATGCAAGTCAACCGGTCAGCCGATGGACGCCATAACTGGGCTACCAGCTGGGCCTACCGGGTAACCCTGGTTTCCCGGGCGGCCCTGCCGTGCAAGGACCAGGGAAGGCCCCAGCAAAAAAAATAAAAACATCCAAAAAATCCAGAAAAAAACTATGCAGAGGTCACATCAAAATTCTTTAACAACTCGGCCGGGCAAGTGGTCCCAGGCCACTCTGGTAGCCTAGTCCCAGCAAAAGAAATAAAAACATCCAAAAAATCCGGAAAAAGATCATGTTATGCAGAGAAATAAACTGAACAAACTTTTGCCTCAGCGTCACATCAAAATTCTTTAACAACTCGGCTGGGCAAGTGGTCCTGGGCCACTCTGGTAGCCTAGCTGCATAAGAAATTGAGCAATGGTCCGGACCGTACTTTCGATCCAAGGGCCACACATCTCTTTTGAACTGATCTCCGTGTGCACCGCCTACCACCCACCACCTACCCCTCCTACCTCTGCATCTCTCTCTCTCTCTCTCTCACACACACACACACACACACACACACACACACACACAGAGAGAGAGAGAGAGAGAGAGAGAGAGAGAGAGAGA